GTTCACTGGACCTTGCAGGCAGCTGCCTGAAAGTCTAGTCTAGTCAGACGTCAGATATTGGGTGATGCAATATCGTAACTTGGGCCTCCCTTAGGAGACTAGGCGGGGTGTCTAGTGACTCACTCCCTGGAAATGAGATGGGCCTTGGGCCAGGCCGCCCAGGATGAGGTCTCATGGGCTCTGAAAAGACCCAAAAAACCGGTGGTGCCTGGCGCACGTCACCATGAGGACGTTCCAGGGAGTCTAGGTCCTGGGTTTCACCTGGTGGAGTCCACCTACAGATAGAGGCCCTGAGAGCCTGAGAGGCCCTGCGAGGCGGCACCAGGCTCCAGGCTCCAGGCTCCAGGCCCAGAAACCCGAAGGAAACCAAGGAAGCAGATTCAAATGATACAACACCCAGTAGATCCCAGTTACCACCATATAAGGAACCAGGGATTCTAAGTCTATGGTTTTAGTCTTTGGAACCACTGGTTACCATGCAGCTATAGGGGTAACTGGATCCCCTGGGACATGTTTGAAGTGTATGGGAAAAAATCTGGTGCCCAATGAAGGTGATGGTGCAAAAGTTGTTAGTGTGTCTATCCATCGAAACAAGGCACGTTTGTCGAGTTTGGAACCAAGCTATTGTTTCCAATGTGATTTCACCTACCTGCCTACCAATCGATCTGAATCAGATTCATCTGAGCTGGACTCTGCGCTGTCATACGAATCGGATGGTGTGGCCTGATGGGAAGGTGTCGCAATCATAACCATCATAATAATCAATGGAACCAAAATACACCAAGAATAAAACCCGAACCTTGCCTCAGAAGCCATGATGACTTGGGCATGAGCCTTTCTATTTTGACCCAGTATGAGCTGCGCTTGTAATGACGACAGGCTAAAATAGATTAAACAGGGCCTGTGCTGGGCTGCAAAAACTAAGTTCTGGTTGTATTTTGGAGAAGTATCAGTTGTCTTGGGAGACTCTTATATGCTCCCCAACAGAATTGACTAGAGCTCGTTTTTTTTCGGCAGTTCCGAAGCACTTTTACATGGCATGGCTCAGAAATGCTCACAACGTCTTGGACCTCTTGGACCTCTTCTTCACCCCACGGCAAGTCACGACCGACTGTCCTTCGGAAGAACGAACGAACGGCCGACTTGCCGACCGACGCCCAGGGGGGTGACTGTCCCGAAGTTGAACTTGAAGATGTGACCTGGCCCATGTAACCTGGCGTTCGCTTCTTGGAACGATTTCTTCTTCATGTACTTCTTCATGTATAGGGTTGAATCTATATGTTTAGTATAGTATATGGTTTTGTTTGCAGACATGTGCAGAAATGCTCATCTATACCAGCCATGTGTAGATTGGTCTTGGGAGACACCGAAAAGCTTAAGAAGAAACAGGTTTCTTCAGAACCCTGTCTGGGTGTCCTGTCGCTCACGGATAGGGCAGTCCAGCCAGGACGCCCATGAAATCGATTGACTCTTCCAGTCGACCGGTGCTTCACCCAGGTCCAGGTCCCTCAGGTGACGTCCAAAATAGACGTAAGAACACCCAGGTCTGAAGCCAGGTCGGGTAGTGGGTGGCTCTGTGGCATCGCCCGTGGCGCTCTTCTCGCGATTCCAACGGGTCCAGAAGGTCGAGCGAAGAGTCAGAGTCAAGGTCAGCACAGGAGCGCTAGGGTAGGATCATAGTGGTGAGGAATTGTATACACTTTTGGATCCTTTGTGTCATTTTCCAGCTGGGTCCAGTTGGTGCGTTTGGTATTTGGTCACATTTGGTCCACGAGTCCATGTTTCGGTCACGAAGGCCGGAGTGCCGGAGGTCTAAGTCTACACAGCTACACACCAAGCTGGCTTCATCGGATGAGTCGATATAGACGAAGTGCGCTCTTGTCTCAAAGTGCTACACACCAAGTGGCACCTGATGTGGAAGCCGATTGCTTCACGACTTCAAAGCTAGATGTTGTTTCAACATGAAAGCGGCGTTGACAGTTCCCCTTTTGACCAGATTCGAAGAGATTCAAAAGAAAGGAGTCACGGCTCATCACCTTTCAAAACCGACAGTAGCCCTTCTTCACTCCATGGAACTGGCAGCCTGTTCTTTCTTCGCCTTTACTTGGGGGTGGTGGTTGAAACAAAATGAATTGGTCAAGTGCTCGGTGTTTCCTTTCTGTGCCGTCGTCCCACCTGCTTGCGCTGCTGGGCTGGTCCGCCAAGGCGTGTGAAGCCGTCCCCACGCGGCGAGGTGGGTGAAGCCTCAAAGGAGAGAGAGCAAGGGGGATGAGAGACCCGGAGAAAGGGGGTTCTGAGGAGATAGTGGCCACTGCATGCAGGATTTTTATGGCCGTGGCCTCGTATGAGATGGTGATTTTGCCACGTTTTTTCCATCAGTTTCAACCTAAATCTACCATGCAATCACCCCATAGTCAACCTGAGTGACCTCTATTTTTTCTCACCAACCACCCAAAAGGATGCTCCAACCTTCCCATGAAAACAGTGAACACAGGGCTCAACTGGGCTTCTAGACCGGTCTAGACCTCTAGACCTCTTTACCCGACTTCGTTTGTACCTTCCGAACATGACTTCGTTTGACATGACCCAAAAGAAACCGTTCCTCGTATCTGGACCCTCGAGATACTCCTTTTTATATAGCTAGGTACAATGAAGTACACTCCCTAAAACAATCATGGAAGTGGAGTTCCTAGGCCATCTTCCTCTACTACAAGGGGGTCCTGGTCTTCTTCAGATTCCGTAGGGAGGGAGGGTGCCCATTTCTACCTGGGTCATGTCCCATTTTCGGGTACCGAGAAAGAAAGGGTCCAAGTACCCACTCCTTGGAGTACTCTGGGTCACGACCCCAAACTCCAGGACCCGATGCACAGCTTCGTGGCCTCGCTGGGTGCTCCGAAAGCCGGGATGCCGAAGGCCTTGGCGGATGCCGAAGTGGGTTGCTGAAAGGTGATTTACCCTCCATCCAACAAACATGGAAGTGGAACAAGGCCCCTTGGAAGGCTGAATTCCTCTATGAACAGGCTGAGGCTGTATTCCACTTCCATGATTGTTTCAGGGAGGGTATTACTTATTTTCGGAAGACGCGGGTGATGGATGTGATGGATGTGAGTTCACTCGAGTCGAAGTGAGAAGATCAGAAAGATCGTTCTGAAACGAAGTATTCTGATGTTCATTTTTTGGGAGGAGTGTATGCATGTAAAGTTGCCGTTTCCGGTGCTCAAGTCTACAAATATTCTACCCTCAGACGACAGGTGCGAGCGGTCAATGGGAGGTTCAAGAAGATAGTACCTTTAACTTTAGCTTCCTAAAGGTCTTACACTCAAGCCCTCCCAGCCAATTAGTCCCTTTTGGACATGATTGTGTGGCTTTGAATGTGCTGAAGGATCAACCACTCCACATGGAAAACTGCTTGGTGCTCTCAAATACGTTTTACATCTTTTTACTTTGCAACCGACTTACCCCAGTTGTCCAAATGTTTTGGGGAAGGGTGTAAACCACCATCCAGAAAAGTATGGTCAGGCAGCAAACGTCGCTTCGGTGACCGACATGCACCAGGTCCTGGGCCCAATCAACACGTAGAAGTTTTGCAGAAGAATGGGAGGAACATCCCCTAGGGCTCCTCCTGACAAGGTGGTTGGGGTGGGTGCCAGGGGGGGTCTAACCAGCTTCTGAGGATATGGTTGGAGCCCTAGGGATCAACATGAATCATACCCTCCGAATCACAGCTTGAATCCAACATCGTCAAATCGTAACGCCAGACACTCCATGGATACGCTGCATGCATGCAAGTATACCTCCTATTCAACCACCAACAGAGCTGGGTCAACCAACCCCCCCCGCTAATGTCGGGCAGTTTGAGTGACCCCCGCTGATGTCGATGTGCAGAAAACATCCGGATAGCTCGTCCGGCCGAATCGGAGTCGGGACGCACTAGACTGCAATGTGATTTTTTGCCCTTCAAAGAGAAGTCAGATTTGTCCACCGCCGGATGAGCATTTGAGCATCTCTAAGGCTGCTGCAGCCTTTGAGGCCGACTGTTGTTCTTTTGGGGATAGGCTTGGATTTGATGAGAAAATTAGTGTTTTTCGTTTTAATATGTTCTTATGTTAAAGCTGATACGGTGTATGCTTGTGTTTTTGTAAATGGGCACTTGAAGCGTCCAGGTGGAAACCGGGAGTGAAACCAGAGCAAGGTGAGTCCCATGCATCCTAAACTTACTCAGTGGGTAAACAAAACTAGTAGCGTCCTTGCTCCGTTCGTAGCGATGGCCTTCAACCTAATAGCGATGGCCTCCGTGCGTAGCGTCCTTGCTCCTGTGTCACTTTGATCCTTCCCCAATTTGGCCTAATCAGTTCAGGTGGCCGTCCGAACCCTTGCGACTTACGAACGCACGAACGCTTGCTACTCGAGACTCTACTGTTGACCCATGCAGCACTTGCTGTAGAGGCTTGGGGTCGGGTCCAAATGACCGCAAGTCCTCAGCTGCACACTTGAAACCATCCAACTAGACCAAAACATCTACGCAAAAAAACAAAGACATGAAAATACTTGGACGTGTTTGCATGCAGTAATTCTAGGTGGACCTGATCTCTCGACCAGTCCCCACCAGTCCTCCACCAGTGTCCCACCTTCCCAGGTGGCAAGTGCCGCAGCCGGCGTCGGTCCCAACCAACGGCGTCAGAGCGTGCCCAAGCTCGCCTTGCAGGTGACGGTGGGACGGCCCCGTGGGACACCGACACCGCCGACGCCCCCGTGGGACATCCGTCAGAGCTAGATGGATGGTAAGACCTCGTCATATCACCTCTTTACATGGGCAGGAAAGGTCGGCTGATGGTAAAAAAGGCGCCGAACTCATGTCCGTGCGAGCGCGGGGCAGACGATCGTCGGTTCGGTTCGCTGCTGGACTTCTCCACAGAAGACGCTGCGTCGGAACGGTTGCAGGAGTTGCCGAAGTCTGAAAGCCGCAGCCCTGTGGGGTCCGGACCGTGTTTGCGGCGATTGGGACAAGCAGCGGAACCATGTGCGACCATGTGCGTCCGTCCTCATGTATACGCATTGATGTGTTTACTTCGTGTTAAGAGAGGCTTCTTTTTGTTCACCTGGACATGAAACCAAACTATGACTTCAGCTCCAATAGAACTCCCACATCCCTTTCTGTCTCCAGTCGCTGAGGTACGTCTTCCGCATCGACCTACACTCAAGACAAGGCGGGCGTCGCGGAGGTGGTCTGGTCGTCATCCGGGTTTGGTCATCAACATGTTTTGAAGGGCCATGGCATGGAGCTGTTCTGAACATGAGAAGGGGCCCTATTAGAAGGGGGCCTTCAGTCGTTTGTTTTTGGAAGATCTGCTCTTTTTCCCAGGAGAGATGTTCCCTGCTGGAAAGGATGCCTTCGTAGAACATCGCTACTTAGACCATCCGACGGTGTCCTGGCCTGTTCGATCCTGGATTAGTGGGCCCGGAGGGGGTCCAGTCAGATGACCCGACCGTGGCCGTCCACTCCAACAAACCCTGAATGCTCAACCTGAATCACTGCCACTGGGCGGCGGTTCGAATCACCAACGCTTGCTTGGACACGATCCAAAAGCACCTGCACGACTCAACCGCCTCAGATGCTGGTTCTGCTCAGTGACTCTCTTTATTTGATACCTAAACCATCCTAAACCTAACAACTGGGTGTGTCGGACAAACAACAGGCACTCCAACTCCATGTGCCTGGTTTCTTGATGTGTCTTTTTGGACGCTTCCTCCCACCACCCGCACCTCCCTCCGCACCCTCCAGCGTCCCAGGCAGGCGATGAGAGCAGCACCAGCAGTTCCACGGAAGACGGTGGGCGGCGTCAACGCGCACGGCCGGAGAGGGGCTTGAACGACGGTCGGCGATGGTCGCCGAGGGTGGCGTCTTTGAAGCCAGGGATTGTTGGGACAGAACTGGGAAGAGGTTTTTTTGGTGATGGAGCAGGAGATTTGGAGGATTTTTGTACAACTGGTGATGGAAGACGTGTTCGAAAGAAAACTCAACCTTGGCTAACCCAGTGGATCAATGGATGGAATGAATCCACTAAGGAGCCTATAGGCGACTGTAGCAAACACTGATTCACTTCACCTAGAAGGTGCTAAAAGTGGTGGTGACACCAGATTCAGCACCTTCAACCCCCCATGTTCTTCTCCACCTGTTTGTTTCTTTGAGCGTTTTTTGGCATCGCGGACGGTCGGACTGTCTGGGGTGGGCTGCCCGAAGCCGCGGCAGAGGTCCGGAGCCGGAGCAGACTGGCGGAGCGAACGAGGAGGGCTACTGCTCCTGCAGCTCGGAAGGCCCGGGAAGCGCCGGGGAAGGCTGAGGGGCAGAGATCAAAGGGATGAGGAGGACTGGGGTGAAGTTCATTGGTTTCAAAGTGGGTCAAGAGTAGATGATCACAACATGTCCAAGTTAAGCTGTACTATACCTGGATCTTCTCAGTGACCGAACTTGATCCCCTGGTTGGTTCGGTCATGACTGGGAACTCCACAGTTCGGTCACTGGGAAGGTCACTGGTATATGCGATCGAACCTTGGTCCTGTCAGACGGAGTGCCGGGGTGCGATCGAACCTGTGAGACAGATGGAGAGCTTGGAGAAGGATGGAGAAGGGGATTGAGGGAAGCACTAAGACTGAGGGAAGCACCTTCTTCAGCGCGTTCGCCTGGACTTGGGGCTTTGTGAACAACTCCGAAAGTCCTTGGGGGTGTCGCGTGGGAAGTAAGTGGCTCGGGATAGAGGGTTTGGTCGGGTAGAGTTGGACGTTTTGTTGTGCCAAGGTGGCTTCTTGTATCTTCTTGTTATGGGCAAACATGGGAAAACTCTCACAGAAAAGGATGACTCAGTTGCATTCATAGGATGAGCTCCTCCTTCTCACAACGCCCCCCTCACGATCGACCCATCGCCAGGCTTTGGCCGGGAATCTCCGGTCTGGGGCTCAGTTCGGGCCTGGACCCCTCGGACAGCGGTCGTGGCAGCCTGGCAGCTGGATCTCCAAACTGGAGGAGTGGTGCCCTACGTCATGGAGGCTTCTTACTGGTTCTTACTGGTTCTCAAGAGAAAAGAGTCCAGGCAAGTTTTGCATACGCGTCCGCCTCGCGGTATGGCCAGTTTGGAGAACCTGCTCCCAGGTGGGGAAACCCAGCCGACCGCTCAGTCAGGCTTCGGCGGGCAGTCCCTCCTTTGCTCCAGCTCCAGGCGCCGGTCCATGGTGTGCCGGGTCGGTGCATGGAAGAGTTGGGGCCGGGGGGGGGCCCTGAGAAGAGTTGGGAAGACCAGGGAGAAGACCAAGATGTGCGAGATTCTCACGGGGGGTAGCGTGGTGGAGGGGTTAAAAGACCAACCGTTCGAACCTTTTTGAACCTTGTTGCTACTTATGATACTATCGGTGTACTACTGCCTTGATTCAAGTAACAGTATATATAAATTCAATCATGTTCCCAAATCCTCCCTCTCCCATGAAACCCCAGACATGTTTGTAATGTATCATTCAACATATGTCTTTTACATGACCATGGAGAGAGCCCGGCATCCAATGGCCTTTTCACTTTGCCAGGCACTGCGCTCAAGGTGCCGCCCTTGAAGATGTCTGGTGTCTTTGGGCCCCGAGGCAGGTGGATGGAGCAGGGTGAGGTCCAATGCATCATGCGGGGGGCGAAGCTTCCCTCAAGCCTTATATAGCCAGTGTTAAATCCAAGCTACAGTGGTTTCAGAGGTTTGATGGCACTGGCACCACCCACCCAACTTAGGACATTTATGCTATCCTCTCAATCCACTCAGAAAAGGTGGAGTCAGATCCCAGTTGAACCAGCTAGTTTTCTTTTTGTTGGCACCGACAGTCTGAGACGGTGCAGCGGCTCTTCGTCACCGGTGAAAGCGGGTTCTCGGCCCAGTGGCTCTTCGTCACCCGTGTTCGACGGAGCCGTCCGTTTCATCCGAAAACCACGCGACGGCCAGGCATCACTCCCTCCTTTGGGGCCCCGTCGACGAAGATGACCCTGCAAGGTGCCACAAAGGGCGGATGAATATATACATATATATATAAATATAGAAAGAGAGAGAGAGAGACTCCTTAAGATATCCTTGGATGAATAAGTTAAAACCATGTAAAACCTCGATAGGGGGTTGAAATATAATCAAGTCTATGAACATTGCAAAGGTTTTGAGTGAGGGATCATATTATTGGTGGGTGAGGGATCAGTTGGAGCCCAGGATGTGGAAATATATACAGACTACTGGTGACTGCGTCACAAACACCCCCAGAGTCGAAGAGGATTTACCATCCAAATGCACTCCCTGGAATCAGCAGCAGTCGTGGACGTCCCCACAATCCGAGTAGCAGAGGATTTCATGAGTCCTTGAAGTCTTCGGGCGCCCTCCACGTAGGCATGATATTTTTGTGAGAAGTCTAATCCAAATGCCGGGGGTTATTCATCAGCAGTCTACACCAGGAAGTCGTTACACTCCGGTGGAATGCTGATCCAAACGCTTTTTCCACCGTTTCCGAATGGCTGTTTCAATTCATCGGATGCCGGGCAGGCGTTCATGAATAGACTCTGGATGAAGTGACCTCTTTGGTGGAAATCACCCAGTTGAACTGTGAAACACATCACCTTGGATCCTTTATTTATGATCTTACCAACAGAGGTTGAAGAACCTATAGACTTATAGAATATCCCATAGTACTCCAGGTTCCGGTCCTAGTTCAGGTTCCCCGAAAAGACAAGAACCTCATAGAAACTCTCTTAATTAGTAATAATATATACTGATTGACAAACACCAGGCGGGATCTGCGCAATTCGCTGTGGCCAGGAAAGCAAAGCCCGCGTCGTCTCTTGAGTGCACGATCCGAGGAAGATACAGGTGCACTGGGTCTCTGGGCGGGACTGAAGACCAGCAAGGACGGTGGCCACTCGTGGTCGAACTTCGGACCTTCAACCGATGTTGCAAGTGGTGTCCCTGTCTTAATTGGTTGACAGCTCTATACCAGGGCCCCCTAAGGAGCCATAATTAGACACCCCACACCCGGGGGGCCCTGGTATATAGTTCTTAAGACACGGACTTTTGGAGAGTCTGATCTTACAGGCAGTCCCGGATGCTCCAGGACAACCTGCATGGGCTTGACTAAGATTGATTAAGTTGTGTTCCTTCCTCGAGCAGTGTTATACACCAAGAGACACAGAAACCTGTATGTGGTGCGCTAAAGTCGAAGTGAAACACATGCAGTTCCGCGAAGCTTGCACGTTCGGTTGGAGGCCATCGCTAGTAGGTTGGAGGCCATCTCAGGGCCTTTAGCCTTGCATCTTGCACCGCAGGCACGGCGCGCAAGCTTTCCCATCGGCTTCAAAACTGCTTGGACACTCAATTCTCAGTGTGTGCAACGAAGAATCAACGACTCAAATGTTTTTTGTGTGCGTGTGTTTTTTTTGCTTTTTCTATACGTGTCAATGAAGAACTTGTACACTTTTGGGCTGTTGTTGACATGGAGTCAGTAACCTATGCTTCGTGAGCTTCAAGCAAGGGAACTGATTCAAATGAGGCAGACTTGGAGGTCTTTTTAGGACTCGAGTCTTCTGGATCAGCCGGGACCTTGCTGTTTGCAAGTGGGCCGACCATGATTTTCTGTCTCTCGCACAACAGCGTAATATGGGACAATGGGGCGTTGAAGACCCAAAGAAACCCTCACCTAAGCATTGGGTTCAATTCCTTAGTGCTAAAAATCGTCCTCAGCTGTTGTTCTTCCCAAGTCCAGCTCACCATTCTCGGGCCAACAGTTGTTTCGATTCCGATTCTCCCATCATTGTTCATCCATTTTTGGCTGAATCAACTCGCGTCTCACTTAGGCGAGTTTCATCAGATGAATGACAGTACAGACTGCGAGTATCACAAGTTGGCCTCCAGTGATTCCGTGCGGTGCCCAAGTTCAGCCGCCCCAAGAAGAGCCGCTGGCAGAGCTGCGAGGTCCAGTGAATTGGAGGTATCCCCTTCACTTGTTGCATAGGATGTTGCAGCCATGTTGGATGTTTTCTTTTAACGCATGGAGTGTATGGAAATGTACCTTGACCTTCAAAGGGGTGCTCAATGGAGATCCCTAAGTAGTGTAGGGGAGTCTATTGGAGACCCCGACATGAAGGTGCTGGTACGCAGTGTTTAATTTATGACTATCGATATTATTTGACTAGGACCGGATTCCACACCAGCCTCCCCAAAGGTGCCGCATCCATCTCGGTGTTCGAAGGTTCTGATGGAAGGTGGCTGGCACCGATCTTCAATGGTCCTTCTCAGTGAAGTACGATTGGGCTGGTCCATTTGCTTCACGAACCACTCCCCAGGTTGACATGGGTGCTATGTGCCAGCTTTAGCTGGAAACCCCTGGGTTTCCCGATTGAGAAGTGTCGGGAATTTATGGGAATTTCTGATGAACAGCTCATAACAGCCCACTTCGATGTAAAGACTTCTACCTGCCACGCCATAGTGCAGCACGTTTTACTCCTTCGGTGGATTCACGATGCCCCCCACTGAGTCGCTTAGTCAGTCAGTCCTTCCAGGACTCCTGCGCCACGCAGTCGGAGGAGGACGAACGTTTTCGACGACGAAACGACGCAAACTTGCCACGACTTGGCAGGAATCATGACTTGCCACGACTTCAGTTGTTCCATGCTTCGCAAGATCTTAAGATGTTGGGCAACCAATTGACGTGAAAAAAGAACGAACCTCGAAGCATGCATTCGGACATGTTCTTGCTCTCACGCTTGAAATGGGGGGTTTCTCGAAGTGAATCGACCTGAAACAACGACGGGGCCCCGCTCCCTGTTTTTCGGCACCCTGATGGATGAGTGGACAACCTAAGGTCGAGTCGAAGCTTTGCATGAGCTGTTTGTAGAGGAGAAGAGGCCATGGTCCACTTCCATGACTTTTCATATTACTCTGGAACTAACATGGAAGTGGAAAACCACCACCTGTTTGTAGTGGATTTCATGGTCTTCCTTACGGTGCCATTCTCCACCTCCATGTTAGTTCCAGGGAGTGTAAATATTACTTCAATGTAGCACAGCAGCGGGCTTTGGACACCGATGCGGCTGCCGATGCGGCAGCTCTTGAAGCATGCGAGACGACCGGATTCTCATGTTCACCCAGAGTAGTGGCCAAGCCCACCCGGGTGGGCTTGGCGACCCAAAGCATCGGGCTTCACTTTGCTGCAGCTGCTGCAGCAGCGAACTCAGGGTCTTCCAAGTTCCTATTCTCCCCTATAAACGAATTGCGTATCTCCATTGAACACTTGAGGATGTTTTTTTTGAAGAAATTGATGACCTAGAGGGAAAGTTGCTCAGCGATGATGGAGCATCCAAGCCTAAGCTCTTCGGACTGAGCGAATGAGACGAAAGCGGAAAGGGGTTCGCCACCCCTTATCTCTACAAAAACCTGGGGGAATGATGAAAAAACCTGGGGAACCTCTACAAAAACCTGGGGGAACCTGGGGGAACGTGGTGCAACCTGGGAGAATGTTGGAGACTTTGTTCTTCGTCTCCGACCGAGAGCGGAAGGAATCCGTCAGTGCCAGGAATCGGAAGTGAGGCCGTCAACGTGACGCGCGGACTTGGCGCAGCACAGCTTTTTTACGACAGGAGATGTGGAGGACGAGAGCATGGCGAACTGGAGCAGAACACCACCCCGTGACTCGTGGTGTTGTGTGGACAAGTGGACAAGCAGAAACATGTAGAAACCAGAGATGAGTAGACGTAAGTTAGTATCAGTTCCTCAAGGCTCGGTTCCTGGACTTGAGCCTTAGTTCATTGAGTGTCAGAACCCTTCACAGGTCTCCGCCCGGGCGCACAGCCCCGTGTAGATTTAGTGTCTCGGGGACGTGTCTTCGAGCTCTTTTGCCCAGGACAGTGGAATGTCCCGAACTCCACAGCGAAGATGCATCGGACTCAAGGGTCAAGGTATGTCAAGGTCCAACAGAGGCTGAAGGACTCGACTCTATAGAAACTAAGTCTTAAGAAACCTAATGGCGATGGCCTCCAACCTATCCCATAGGTATCCCAGGTCACTTAACCTCTCGGCGTTCGTCCGTTGAAGGGGAAGCAACCGGCGCAACCGACCGCACCTCTTCGCTGTCGAGCCATGGAATGGATGACTGGGAAGAATCGCATCCAGTAGTAATGGTCCCCTGCGGTGAGATATGGTGCTGACAAATCCAGACAAAAATATGGCAGAACATGTAGGAGTTCGGATTAAATGTCATTGAGCTATAGAAGGAGTTGAAAGAAAAGCATGTTTGTATCGGCAAACCAGCCAGCACAGCAGGGGACTGTTGTGTTTCAGAACCGAGATGCTTCCGGAAGTCCAATGTTAAGCAATGCGTGGATTTTCGCGCCGGGAAGCAGCCCCACGAAACGGACCAATCAATCATTAATACTTTGGATCCTTCATTTGTTTGGTTGATTGAATTGCATAATTTGTTTGTTTGTGCGTTCCCCATCTGCCAGGTGAGGGTGGTTAGATTTTATGAGTACTGTCCCGCTCCTCCGCCTCATCATCCACCTCCTTCACCGCCTCCCAGTCGACCAAGTGCCAGATCGCAGTGGGCACCGCCGCACCTCAAGCGCGAGCACTAGATCCCAGTGGGCACCACCGGACCTCAACCGCCAATAAGAATGCCAGATAGACTTGCAGAATTCTTGCCAAAAAGACTGTCAGATTACATGCCAGAATTTGTGCCAGATAGAACACCAGAATATGTACAAGATAGAATGCCAGTCGAATGCAAGATGGACACTCTCTTTGATATCAGACTTGATGCCAGAACAGCCATCAGAGCACTGTATCAGTGCACATGTCAGGCGACGTTTGTCAGGATAGTTTGTCAATACATGTGTGCCCTGCCTTCTTTCAACCGCCGCTCATGGTGGGTATCACTCAAAGTAACTAGCTTGGCTTTTGTTCTTTAACAACGCAGACAAATGTTGGAAGATGCGAATGGAAGTGCAGCGACACGTACAGTGCAACTTGTACATATATATGTACCATATGTACTTTGGCTCAAGGATCAAGCGACTAGAAAAGGTGCGGTTTCCGTTCCGACGCTACGCCGCTTATGGATCGTCAGTGATAGCTTCAAACTTCGCTGATTAAGATCCACTCGCAGGTTATCAGCCGTACGCGCTCTTTATAGCCGTACGAGCTACACGAGACCAAGAACAAGACTAGTCATTACAGAAACCTGCAATGTCAAGCTCAGGAGGAAATGGAAGCGAACCCTATTCATTCGCTGCTCCTGGTGGTCCCAACACCATTTCGTCACCAGACTCTACAATGGGTACTGATTCATCAGCAAATGCTGACGTTATCACTATGCCTACTGGATCACAAATCTCGGAAAGATCCGTGCCACCGGCTCGGAATCTGACCGATCTTGCACCCGTAGGACCAAGAAGATCGATGAGAGCTACAACAAGATCTACATCGCCTATAACGTCTACCGCGAGATCCCCAAGAAGGAGTATAGAGAATAGACGTGCCGATGATAGAGGAACAAAAGAGCAAAGAAGAGAGATTCAGCTGGGTGAAGAATTGAGATCGGCGAGAAACGCATACAATTTTCTTCATGAAGAATATGAATGCATCCAAGCCGGATACTCACGACTACACCACGAGGCTGAAGTGGAGTTCAGGCAAATGTCTGACTACAACAGGAAGATGCAGGAACATCTACAAGAGATGACACAGGAAGATGAAGGAGCGACAATAAGAATTGAAGAGCTCGAACACAAGCTACGCTTGGCGGAATCGACAGCTGAACATATCTACATGAGATATCAAGAGCTTGCACAAGAAACTCATCAAGAACATTCAGAGCTTGAATCTGTGAAAGCAACGAAGGACAGAATGTCCCAAGAGCTTCAAGCAGCAATTGGACACATCCAAGAACAGAATGAATCTTCATTGGCGATCAATAGAAGATCAAAAGCCATTCAGGATGAGAACACAGCCTTCGTCGGAATAGCTGACCAGATACAAGCTAGAATGATTGCGCTACAGGATGAGAATGTCAACATGCACGAGGTGATCCAACACCAGAGAGAAGAACAATGGAACAGTGAGGTCAGGGAAAGACGTCTTCAACACAGTGTTCACTCATCTCAAGATCAGAGCAATCAGGAAGCTATGGTTATTGATCATCTACGAGGTCAACTAGCTATGGCACGTGGAGCTGAACTCAACGCGAGAGCGGAGATAGAAGAGATGGAAGTGGGCATGAGGATGGAGATATTTGTACGCCAGACTGAAGTCTCTGCTAAAGAAATGGCAGAAATGAAGGCGAGCCACCATGAATACGAAGCAAACGTCGCAAAGGAGGTTATCGCAAAAGGAGAAATATTCAATAACGAAGTCCTAGAAGGTTCCATCCGTGAACGACAACAGTTGAAAGACGCCAACCTTGCTCTATCCGAAGCCAACGCACAGCTGAAGAGAGAGAATATGATGAGAGCTCCTATGTTCGGCGATGATGGTGCTGAAATTCAACAGAAGATCAGAGAACTGGAGAATGCACTATTGGAAAGCCAGAAGGAGACAAAGAATGTCATTATGGAAAATGCGAAATTAAAAGCAGAAGCACGAATGGCACCCATAGTCTCTCGGTACAGCAAGCGTCCTAGTTCCAGAGACCGCGGGTTACCAACCCACGCGTCCGAGGAAGATGAGATTCGGAACGCAAAAGAGGAGGCGAAGCACTACAAGGACGGGTACAATGAAATGACAGAGAGCCGAGATGAGATGTATGAATGGTATGCCGAAACCCACAATGAGTACGCCGAGGAAAGGGAGAAATCAATTGAGCTATCCGAGGCGAACAAATCATTGAGGGACAAGATTTCAGAAGCAGAAGCATCCTCTTCATCTCATCTTGCACCGGCAACCTCTACAATCATGAAAGTATCGAGGAAGGAAGAATCAAAGATAAACGTTCCGTCATGGCCCAGGATCAATGATCTTGGACTATGGAAGGCAAATCTCATTCAATCGATCATCATTGCGGCCAATGATTCAGATCAAGAGCCCTGGATCGACTGGATCAAAGAAGCCATGGACGATCCTGATCCGGACAAGTTTGTCGACTCAGGAGACCAAAGATTCCATTCAATCGATGCCAAACTCGGCCTAGCTCTTACCAAGGTCGTCATGGATGCGAAAGATGATGGTTCAGGTGTAGCTATGAAGTTGAGGACGAGGATCAATGCAAAAGGGAGAACATCAAGCCTCATAAAGGGAAGAGAGGTCCTAGCCCTGATCCTTATGAATTTCAAGACAACATCAAATGTGGAAGTCTTATATACTTCAATGCACCTCTACCAACTAGAATATCAAGGAGACAAGAACTTATCGTTGTTCTTCCACACTTGGGATGAGATTCTGGCAGGAATGAAGCCCGTTGACGTCCCGAGCGACGAAACTCTTCGGGATCTCCTATGGAGAAAGATCAGGAACTCAAACCTCATGGCATACGACATCAGCGCCTACAACAGCATGAACGACGATGATGCCAAGAAGACATACAAACATCTACGTGATATGATCAGAAGGCACATCGAACGGCAAACTGAAGACAGGATGATCCTGGAAAAGGAGAAGGCAGTGAAGAATGTGGCCAATATCTTTCAGAATCTCAAACCAGGCGGACCTGCTCCAAAACTGAAAGCTGCACCAGCTGATCCGAAGAAGAAACCAAAAGGGCAACAAGAACAGGTTGTCTCAGAAGACGCTGCTGCAGTGAAGCCGAAACCCAATCCCAAGAAGCATCCTGAAGACAAGAACAAAAAGGGAAAGGGGAAAGGTAAAGGTGATGGAAAGGATCGCAGCCGAAGTCCGAGTACAGACAAGAAGAAGATACCATGCAAATACTTCGTGAAAGGTAACTGCACTATGGGGAAAGATTGCCCATTCAGTCACAAGAAACCCAGATCACCATCCAGAGGATCTTCTGTCGGAAAGAATGACAAGCCAGTATGTTGGATGTGGATTCGAGGAACTTGTGACAAAGGGAAGGATTGCAAGTTCTACCATGACCCAAAAGCCTCTCCTAAGAAAGGGATATCTGCACCAGCTGACTCAGGAGACGATAGGCCAAAGCCCAAGGCAAAACCCAAACCGAAGCCTAAGGCGAAGCCTGGAGCCCCAGCCATTGACGGTGAACTCTTCATGGACGAATCCGAAGATGAAGGGATTGCTGCATCCGCCAAGGCAAGAGAAGGAGGTGCAAAAGTATCCTTTGATGAAGAGACTTGTGAGATCATGTTGAACGAAGCGATCTACTCAGTCAGGAACAAATGGAAGGTAGTAGAAAGGAAACCTCTACGTCCAGACATCAAACGATACGATGAGAAAGAGCTCACCTGCTACACGAGGAAAGAACAAATCAGATTTGAAGAAAAGGTCGCAGAGGCAAGAGGCATATTGATGGTCCCCTACACTGAGATCAAGAGGGTCCGAATACCAGTTGGACCAAAGGGTGACCTAGCGGTCACTATGTCTTTTGACGAAGATGACGGCCTAGTTTTCCATCATAAAGTCATTCCTCATGTATGCGAGGGAAAGAAAGATCATGCAGACACAAAGACATTGTCTATTCCAGCCAAAGGGTCAAGAACAAAGTTCATCATGGACACAGGATGTGGGTATGATTTGATATCGA